GATCAAGAGACGACGAGAAAGCAATGAAACATGACGAGAAAGCAATAACACAAAACGAGAAGGTGAGATCAAGAGACGAGAAAGCAATAACACAAGGTGAGAAGGCGAGATAAAGAGACGAAAAAATAATGACACAAGACGAGAAAGCAATAACACACCACGAGAAAGCAATAACACAAGGCGAGAAGGTGAGATCAAGAGACGAAAAAGAAAAGACACAAGACGAGAAAGCAATAACACAAGACGAGAAAGCGATAACACACGATGAGAAAGCAATAACACAAGACGAGAAAGCAATAACACAAGACGAGAAGGTGAGATCAAGAAACGAGAAAGCGATAACACAAGACGATAAGGTGAGATCAAGAGACGCAAAAGCAATGACACAAGATGAGAAGTGATAGCAAGAGTGAGTGAGTGAGTGAGTTTAGTTTTACGCCGCACTCAGCAATATTCCAGCTATATGGCGGCGGTCTGTAAATAATCGAGTCTGGACCAGACAATCCAGTGATCAACAGCATGAGCATCGATCTGCGCAACTGGGAACCGATGACATGTGTCAACCAAGTCAGCGAAACTGACCACCCGATCCCGTTAGTCGCCTCTTACGACAAGATAGTCGCCTTTTTATGGCAAGCACATGGGTTGCTGAAGACCTATTCTACCCCGGATAGCAAGAGACAGACGAGACAACAATAACACACGACCAGAACGCAATAACACAAGGTGAGAAAGCAATAAAACAAGACGAGAAAGCAATAACACAAGACGAGAAGGTGAGATCAAGAGACGAGAAAGCAATAACAGAAGATGGGAAAGCAATGACACAAGACGAGAAAGCAATAACACAAGACGAGAAGGTGAGAACAAGAGACGAGAAAGCGATAACACAAGACGATTAAGGTGAGATCAAGATACGAAAAAGCAATGATACAAGATGAGAAAGCGAGAGCAAGAGACGAGAAAGCAAAAACACACGTCGAGAAAGCAATAACACAAGACGAGGATGCAATAACACAAGACGAGAAAGCGATTGCAAGAGACGAGAATGCAAAATAGTAAAGAGATGAAAAGGCGACAGAAGGAGAGGGGAAGGCGATTGTCCGCTTTATCGCTTTTCGCTTTCTCAGGACGACCTCTCTCAGACCTTTGACCTTTCTCAGCAACCATAGTGGTAGGATGTATCTTTTGATTCCACAAAATACCTTTACACAATACCCAGCGTACAATAGGAATATCCAGGACACATGATCAAATCCACAGTACCATAGTACCATAGCAAATCGACATAACACACTAGCATAATACCCAGTGCCGAAATACACATACCGAGTACACAGTACCCAATTACCAGCGCACGGTACACAATGCCCAATACACAATACACGATCTCAAGAACACAGTGCCTAGTACACAAGGCACTGACTGCGTAACTGCGAACAATTTGTGACATGACTAACTGTCATGTCACGTCGGCATGCGTGTGAACCAGAAAGCCTCGGCTACATACAACAGCTCTGCTCCTCTGAAAGCTGTCAATTATGTATAACGAGAGAACATGGGCTGTACAACGAGAACGAGTATATCTGTACATAACGATAAAACGGGTATATCTGTATATAACGAGAGAACGGGTATATCTGTATATAACGAGAGAACAGATATATCTGTATATAACAAGAGAACATGTATATCTGTATATAAAGACAAAAAACGAGTATATCCGTATATAACGATAGAACATGTATATCTGTATATAAAGAGAAAACGAGTATATCTGTATATAACGAGAAAACGAGTATATCTGTATATACCGAGGGAACGAGTATATCTGTATATAACAATGGAACATGTATATCTGTATATAACATGTATATCTGTGTATAACGAGAGAACGAGTATATCTGTATATAACGAGAGAACGGGTATACTGACTGACTGACTGAGTTTAGTTTTACGCCGCTTTTAGCAATATTCCAGCAATATCACGGCGGGGGACACCAGAAATGGGCTTAACACATTGTGCCCATGTGGGGAATCGAACCCGGGTCTTCGGCGTGACGAGCCAACGCTTTAACCACTAGGCTACCCCACCGCCCCGGGTATATCTGTATATAACGAGAAACGAGTATATCTGTGTATACCGAGAGAACGAGTATATATGTATATAACAATAGAACATCTATATATGTATAACGAGAGAACGAGTATATCTGTATATAGCGAGAGAACGGGTATATCTGTATATAGCGAGAGAACGAGTATATCTGTATATAGCGAGAGAACGAGTATATCTGTATATAACGATAGAACATGTATATCTGTATATAACATGTATATCTGTGTATAACGAGAGAACGAGTATATCTGTATATAACGATAGAACATGTATATCTGTATATAACATGTATATCTGTGTATAACGAGAGAACGAGTATATCTGTATATAACGATAGAACATGTATATCTGTATATAACATGTATATCTGTGTATAACGAGAGAACGAGTATATCTGTATATAACGATAGAAATGTATATCTGTATATAACATGTATATCTGTGTATAACATGTATATCTGTGTATAACGAGAGAACGAGTATATCTGTATGTAACGATAGAACATGTATATCTGTACATAACATGTATATCTGTGTATAACGAGAGAACGAGTATATCTGTATATAACGATAGAACATGTATATCTGTATATAACATGTATATCTGTGTATAACGAGAGAACGAGTATATCTGTATATAACGATAGAACATGTATATCTGTATATAACATGTATATCTGTGTATAACGAGAGAACGAGTATATCTGTATATAACGATAGAACATGTATATCTGTATATAACATGTATATCTGTGTATAACATGTATATCTGTGTATAACGAGAGAACGAGTATATCTGTATATAACGATAGAACGAGTATATCTGTATATAACGATAGAACATGTATATCTGTATATAACATGTATATCTGTGTATAACGAGAGAACGGGTATATATCTGTATATAACGATTGAACATGTATATCGGTATATAGCGATAGAACATGTATATCTGTATATAACATGCGTATCTGTGTATAACGAGAGAACGAGTATATCTGTATATAACGATAGAACGAGTTTATCTGTATATAACGATGGAACATGTATATCTGTATATAACATGTATATCTGTGTATAACGAGAGAACGGGTATATCTGTATATAACAATAGAAGATGTATATCGGTATATAGCGATAGAACATGTATATCGGTATATAACATGCGTATCTGTGTATAACGAGAGAACGAGTATATCTGTATATAACAATAGAACATGTATATCTGTATATAACATGTATATATCTGTGTATAACGAGAGAACGAGTATATCTGTATATAACGATAGAACGTGTATATCTGTATATAACATGTATATCTGTGTATAACATGTATATCTGTGTATAACGAGAGAACGAGTATATCTGTATATAACAATAGAACATGTATATCTGTATATAACATGTATATCTGTGTATAACGAGAGAACGAGTATATCTGTAAATAACAATAGAACATGTACATCTGTGTATAACGAGAGAACGGGTATATCTGTATAGAACGATAGAACATGTACATCTGTGTATAACGAGAGAACGGGTATATCTGTATATAACGATAGAACATGTACATCTGTATATAACGAGAGAACGGGTATATCTGTATAGAACGATAGAACATGTACATCTGTATATAACGAGAGAACGGGTATATCTGTATAGAACGATAGAACATGTACATCTGTGTATAACGAGAGAACGGGTATATCTGTATATAACGATAGAACAGGTATATCTGTATACAGAGGCTGTATAACGATAGAACGGGTATATCCGTATATAACGAGAAAACGAGAATATTAGTATACACACCCGTCAATTTAATCAACACATTGACGTGGTAACGATTCAACAAATAATTCGTAATGTTACGAGCTATCGTAACTATATAGTTTATCATAGGCTTACGAATGTCGTAGTGCTACGAACGCTTTGTGGATCTTCCTGATGTTTCAATTTGAGATGCCATAGTGATCAGGTATTATTAGCCATTTTAACATAATCACCAGGTGTGATTGTTCTGTGTAACATAGCTAGTGTGTGTTATGCTCCTGTATAATATAGGGACCAGGTAACGTCGTTCTATATAACAAAGGCGTAAGTTGTTATCGTTCTATCGATACGGAAAAGAGGAGTAAAACCCAACTCACTCACTCACTCACTCTATCGATATGGTCAGCACCAGCATGTGAGTACCTTGGTCTGTAATGAGTGAGTGAGTGAGTTTAGTTTTACGCCACACTCAGCAATATTCCAGCTATATGGCGGCGGTCTGTAAATAATCGAGTCTGGACCAGACAATCCAGTGGTCAACAACATGAGCATCCATCTACGCAACTGGGATACGATGACATGTGTCAACCAAGCCAGCGAGCCTTACCACCCGATCCCGTTAGTCGCCTCTTACGACAAGCATGAGTTACTGAAGATTAATTCTAACCCGGATCTTCACGGGTCTGTATGACATATATACACTTTTATTCCTCCATAGGAGAGTACATAGAAATGCGATAATTCGCATAGTCTTCGGTGTTATCGCTATGCATCATTAAGAGATGAGGTGTTATCAATCGGTAAAATATAGAGAAAATATTTTATCATTCTGAATCACGTATTATCTTATAATCTCTGTGGTCAGATGGATTAAAGGTTATCTTTCCACATTAACACACTAGTGTTCTGATTTATCGTATACTCGTGGCTGACAAACCCGAGAGCCAGTCTCACTCCAACAACAAGCCGACGTCGCCTGCATTAAACCGTTCAGAGAACAGGTCATGGCAGTCGTAGTCTCTGCCACACCCCGTTTCACAAGCATCCGCGAACCAGTCCCCAAAATACAAACAAGTAATCAAACATAACCATAACATAAGTTTCTCACCTGTATAATGCAGCTGGACGCTAATCAACATCAGGGCACAGGTGAGAGTAAAGGACGCCATGGTGTATAATGGTGAAGTCTACCTGCTCTAGACAAGTTTACTTTGCAACCGGAATACCTCAACTCCTCTAATCCGTCGTCAAACGAGAACAGTCGAGGTGTTCCGACTGACGGGCGACACGGTTGAGCGGCTCACATTGTTTGTTGTGTTGTCTACTCTCGAACCTGACCCTGACTAGCGCGTGAAGGGGGCGGCGGTGACTGAATGAATGGTTGAATACTGTGCTTCACAGTGCGGTACAGACTACATGTTGGCCGGGGAAACGTGAGGTGTATATAAGTAGGGCACAGTCATGGACGCTCAATACACCCACTGGTCATTACTGACAGCACTTTCTGCAGGAGTAGTATAACGTTTCCACTGTGTGTCACCTGTATAAAAGTTCGGTACAATATTTCCACTGTGTGTCACCTGTATAAAAGTTCGGTACAATATTTCCACTGTGTGTCACCTGTATAAAAGTTCGGTACAATATTTCCACTGTGTGTCACCTGTATAAAAGTACAATATTTGCACTGTTTGTCATCTGTGCAGAGATTGAATATCACCTGTGTTATGATTTGGTATAAAGTTTGCATTGTTTTATACCTGTGAAGAGATTCAGTACACAGTTTGCATTGTTTTACACCTGTGAAGAGATTCATAATACAGTTTGCATTGTTTTACACCGGTTTAGAGATTTAGAATAAAGTTTGCATTGTTTTACACCTGTGTAGAGATTCAGTATAACGCTTGCATCGTCATACACCCGTGTAGAAATTCAGAATATAGTTTGCATTGTTTTACACCGGTTTAGAGATTTAGAATAAAGTTTACATTGTTTTACACCTGTGTAGACATTCAGTATAACGTTTGCATCGTCATACACCCGTGTAGAAATTCAGAATATAGTTTGCATTGTTTTACACCGGTTTAGAGATTTAGAATACAGTTTGCATTGTTTTACACCTGTGTAGACATTCAGTATAACGTTTGCATCGTCATACACCCGTGTAGAGATTCAGAATATAGTTTGCATTGTTTTACACCGGTTTAGAGATTTAGAATACAGTTTGCATTGTTTTACACCTGTGTAGACATTCAGAATATAGTTTGCATTGTTTTACACCGGTTTAGAGATTCAGAATATAGTTTGCATTGTTTTACACCGGTTTAGAGATTTAGAATACAGTTTGCATTGTTTTACACCTGTGTAGACATTCAGTATAACGTTTGCATCGTCATACACCCGTGTAGAGATTCAGAATATAGTTTGCATTGTTTTACACCGGTTTAGAGATTTAGAATACAGTTTGCATTGTTTTACACCTGTGTAGACATTCAGAATATAGTTTGCATTGTTTTACACCGGTTTAGAGATTCAGAATATAGTTTGCATTGTTTTACACCGGTTTAGAGATTTAGAATACAGTTTGCATTGTTTTACACCTGTGTAGACATTCAGAATATAGTTTGCATTGTTTTACACCGGTTTAGAGATTTAGAATACAGTTTGCATTGTTTTACACCTGTGTAGACATTCAGTATAACGTTTGCATCGTCATACACCCGTGTAGAGATTCAGAATATAGTTTGCATTGTTTTACACCGGTTTAGAGATTTAGAATACAGTTTGCATTGTTTTACACCTGTGTAGACATTCAGAATATAGTTTGCATTGTTTTACACCGGTTTAGAGATTCAGAATATAGTTTGCATTGTTTTACACCGGTTTAGAGATTTAGAATACAGTTTGCATTGTTTTACACCGGTTTAGAGATTCAGAATATAGTTTGCATTGTTTTACACCGGTTTAGAGATTTAGAATACAGTTTGCATTGTTTTACACATTTGTCGACATTCAGAATATAGTTTGCATTGTTTTACACCGGTTTAGAGATTTAGAATACAGTTTGCATTGTTTTACACCTGTGTAGACATTCAGAATATAGTTTGCATTGTTTTACACCGGTTTAGAGATTCAGAATATAGTTTGCATTGTTTTACACCGGTTTAGAGATTTAGAATACAGTTTGCATTGTTTTACACCTGTGTAGACATTCAGAATATAGTTTGCATCGTCATACACCCGTGTAGAGATTCAGAATATAGTTTGCATTGTTTTACACCGGTTTAGAGATTTGGAATACAGTTTGCATTGTTTTACACCTGTGTAGACATTCAGAATATAGTTTGCATTGTTTTACACCGGTTTAGAGATTCAGAATATAGTTTGCATTGTTTTACACCGGTTTAGAGATTTAGAATACAGTTTGCATTGTTTTACACCTGTGTAGACATTCAGAATATGGTTGCATTGTTTTACACCGGTTTAGAGATTTAGAATACAGTTTGCATTGTTTTACACCTGTGTAGACATTCAGTATAACGTTTGCATCGTCATACACCCGTGTAGAGATTCAGAATATAGTTTGCATTGTTTTACACCGGTTTAGAGATTTAGAATACAGTTTGCATTGTTTTACACCTGTGTAGACATTCAGAATATAGTTTGCATTGTTTTACACCGGTTTAGAGATTCAGAATATAGTTTGCATTGTTTTACACCGGTTTAGAGATTTAGAATACAGTTTGCATTGTTTTACACCGGTTTAGAGATTCAGAATATAGTTTGCATTGTTTTACACCGGTTTAGAGATTTAGAATACAGTTTGCATTGTTTTACACCTGTGTAGACATTCAGAATATAGTTTGCATTGTTTTACACCGGTTTAGAGATTCAGAATATAGTTTGCATTGTTTTACACCGGTTTAGAGATTTAGAATATAGTTTGCATTGTTTTACACCTGTGTAGACATTCAGTATAATGTTTGCATCGTCATACACCCGTGTAGAGATTCAGAATATAGTTTGCATTGTTTTACACCGGTTTAGAGATTTAGAATACAGTTTGCATTGTTTTACACCTGTGTAGACATTCAGAATATAGTTTGCATTGTTTTACACCGGTTTAGAAATTCAGAATATAGTTTGCATTGTTTTACACCGGTTTAGAGATTTAGAATACAGTTTGCATTGTTTTACACCTGTGTAGACATTCAGAATATAGTTTGCATTGTTTTACACCGGTTTAGAGATTTAGAACACAGTTTGCATTGTTTTACACCGGTTTAGAGATTTAGAATACAGTTTGCATTGTTTTACACCTGTGTAGACATTCAGAATATAGTTTGCATTGTTTTACACCGGTTTAGAGATTCAGAATATAGTTTGCATTGTTTTACACCGGTTTAGAGATTTAGAATACAGTTTGCATTGTTTTACACCTGTGTAGACATTCAGAATATAGTTTGCATTGTTTTACACCGGTTTAGAAATTCAGAATATAGTTTGCATTGTTTTACACCGGTTTAGAGATTTAGAATACAGTTTGCATTGTTTTACACCTGTGTAGACATTCAGAATATAGTTTGCATTGTTTTACACCGGTTTAGAGATTTAGAACACAGTTTGCATTGTTTTACACCGGTTTAGAGATTTAGAATACAGTTTGCATTGTTTTACACCTGTGTAGACATTCAGAATATAGTTTGCATTGTTTTACACCGGTTTAGAGATTCAGAATATAGTTTGCATTGTTTTACACCGGTTTAGAGATTTAGAATACAGTTTGCATTGTTTTACACCTGTGTAGACATTCAGAATATAGTTTGCATTGTTTTACACCGGTTTAGAGATTTAGAATACAGTTTGCATTGTTTTACACCTGTGTAGACATTCAGTATAACGTTTGCATCGTCATACACCCGTGTAGAGATTCAGAATATAGTTTGCATTGTTTTACACCGGTTTAGAGATTTAGAATACAGTTTGCATTGTTTTACACCTGTGTAGACATTCAGAATATAGTTTGCATTGTTTTACACCGGTTTAGAGATTCAGAATATAGTTTGCATTGTTTTACACCGGTTTAGAGATTCAGAATACAGTTTGCATTGTTTTACACCTGTGTAGACATTCAGAATATAGTTTGCATTGTTTTACACCGGTTTAGAGATTCAGAATATAGTTTGCATTGTTTTACACCGGTTTAGAGATTTGGAATACAGTTTGCATTGTTTTACACCGGTTTAGAGATTCAGAATATAGTTTGCATTGTTTTACACCGGTTTAGAGATTTAGAATACAGTTTGCATTGTTTTACACATTTGTCGACATTCAGAATATAGTTTGCATTGTTTTACACCGGTTTAGAGATTCAGAATATAGTTTGCATTGTTTTACACCGGTTTAGAGATTTAGAATAAAGTTTGCATTGTTTTACACCTGTGTAGACATTCAGTATAACGTTTGCATCGTCATACACCCGTGTAGAGATTCAGAATATAGTTTGCATTGTTTTACACCGGTTTAGAGATTTAGAATACAGTTTGCATTGTTTTACACCTGTGTAGACATTCAGAATATAGTTTGCATTGTTTTACACCGGTTTAGAGATTCAGAATATAGTTTGCATTGTTTTACACCGGTTTAGAGATTTAGAATACAGTTTGCATTGTTTTACACCTGTGTAGACATTCAGAATACAGTTTGCATTGTTTTACACCGGTTTAGAGATTTAGAATACAGTTTGCATTGTTTTACACCGGTTTAGAGATTCAGAATATAGTTTGCATTGTTTTACACCGGTTTAGAGATTCAGAATACAGTTTGCATTGTTTTACACCGGTTTAGAGATTCAGAATACAGTTTACATTGTTTTACACCGGTTTAGAGATTCAGAATATAGTTTGCATTGTTTTACACCGGTTTAGAGATTCAGAATACAGTTTGCATTGTTTTACACCGGTTTAGAGATTTAGAATACAGTTTGCATTGTTTTACACCGGTTTAGAGATTCAGAATATAGTTTGCATTGTTTTACACCGGTTTAGAGATTCAGAATACAGTTTGCATTGTTTTACACCGGTTTAGAGATTCAGAATACAGTTTGCATTGTTTTACACCGGTTTAGAGATTCAGAATATAGTTTGCATTGTTTTACACCGGTTTAGAGTTTCCGAATATAGTTTGCATTGTTTTACACCGGTTTAGAGATTCAGAATATAGTTTGCATTGTTTTACACATGTGTCGACATTCAGTATAACGTTTGCATCGTCATACACCCGTGTAGAGATTCAGAATATAGTTTGCATTGTTTTACACCGGTTTAGAGATTCAGAATATAGTTTGCATTGTTTTACACCGGTTTAGAGATTCAGAATATAGTTTGCATTGTTTTACACCGGTTTAGAGATTCAGAATATAGTTTGCATTGTTTTACACCGGTTTAGAGATTCAGAATATAGTTTGCATTGTTTTACACATGTGTCGACATTCAGTATGAAAAAAAGGCGATTGGGGGGCCTAGTGGTTAAAGATTGATTTCTCACGGAAACAACTTGCCAAAGTACCCAAGCCTGAGGGTAACAAAATGTCGCCACGACCCCATTGCGTGCATTAAGAGTTGACTGAATTCGGTGACTCGACGACTTGTTTTATTGCGTAATCGTATCCGACAGCATTTGACATTGCTCACAATACCATTTCGGGTCCCAGGATAGATGGTTTACAGGCTGTCATGATAGTAATCACTGGGAGATAAAACAACTCGTCAACAACGGCCCTACGGTTTGGATACATCCATATATATATATATACTCAACACAAAAAGTTAAGAACCACCCCAATTTTTAATATTAAAGTATTTAATTTTTCATATTACGATCCATATTATGCTTAAATATTGAAAATTGGGGTGATCCTTAACTTTTTTCTTTGATATACATTGACAGTTTCTGAGAAATCATTTCTCCGTTACAAATTTTGCTATAAAAAAAAGGTATGATGCGTGTCTAATTTTATTACACCCATGTTGGACTTCATCGTATTAATTAGTCTTGATGGACCAATCAAGGGAGAACACTCCTGCTCTATCCCTTCTGGGTCATTCCCACTTGCTTATTGCTGATTGATCTCTTCTTGAGTATTCTTGCTATTACTAGAACGTTCGTGCTTGGTCAATCGCGAGACGGTTCCTGCTGGAACGTTTCTGTCTGTTTCCAGAACGCACTTTCCTGTACAGGTGCAAGCTGGTTCTACTGGAACGTTCTCTCTTGTTTTGAGATAATTCCGCTAGAACGTTAGTGCTTGGCCAGTTGCGAGACGATTTCTTCTAGAACGTTCTCTCTTAGACTGTTGTGAGATGGTTCCGCTAGAACGTTGGTGCCTGGCAAGTTGCGAGGCCATTTCTTCCCGAACGTTCGTGTTTGCACACCTGCGAGATAATTCCTCCAGAAGGTTCTCGCTTTGACAGTTGTGAGATACTCCCTGCTTGAACACTCTTTCTTGGCTAATTGTGAGATGATTCCTCCTACAATGCCCGTGCTCAGCCAGTTGTGAGATCATTTCGCTAGAACGTTGGTGCTTGCCCAGTTCCGAGGCGATTTCTTCTGGAACGTTCGTGCTTGCACACTTGCGAGATAATGCTCAGCCAGCTGCAATGGGGTGTTACTAGAACATTCTTTCTTGGCCAGTTGTAGGATGACTCCTTCTAGAACGTTTGTTCCTGGACAGTTGCGAGATATTTCCTGCTGGAACGCTCATACTTGGCCTGTTGTCAGATTATTTCTGACAGAATGTTAGTGATTTGTCTCTTGTTTGACTGAGTTTAGTTTTACGCCGCTTTTAGCAATATTCCAGCAATATCACGGCGGGGGACACCAGAAATGGGCTTAACACATTGTGCCCATGTGGGGAATCGAACCCGGGTCTTCAGCGTGACGAGTCTCTTGTTTGAGTGCCTGAACATTCCTGTGGGGTCTCATTGTAGAACAGAGTTGTCTGCCTTTGTTGGCCACCGAGATGTGCTGATGTTTTCGACAGAAAGAAATGTTGATTCTCGGTCTTGCTAGGGACGGCTCGTCTATCAGCGAGGCGAACATGTTGCAGAACATTAAGTATATGCTCTTTGTTGACTGACTTAGACTGTGATGATTGGATCGCTTTTAAATGTGTCCAGGACAATGCATCAATATCCGTTATGACAAAACAGTCATGATGTGTCCCCTGTATACATTCAACCAACCAAACGACCAATGTATAGCGTATTCGTGACGTCATCCGTGACGTCACAGTCAGAAAATGACAAACAAGATGAAAACGTTGGAACATCCACTCAGCTACACACAGACTGAAGCTTCTCTACACAGCGGTGTAACACTTTTCTAAAGACGTAGGGATGACATCAGTGCCAAGCAACGCTGGCCGGAAGTGACGACATGCTTTTGTTGTGACGTCAAAGACAAACGAGCAGCACTCGGCTTTGGCGGCACATGTTCGGCCACAACGTGTGATAGAGGTCAAGGTCATAACGGACGTTTCCTCAACTCCGGTTAAGGTCGAGCACTTATTGAACGTCGCTGCTACCACGCCTCCGTCTGAAACAAAGGACGTCAGAGGTCAAAGGTCAAAGATCAAACGTTTATTGTCCAATAGGCCGTCGGCTCGTATGCTAGGGTGAGTTATACTTACAAAATGAAATCATGTGACACTTAGGGATATTCATGTTACTCAATTAGTTCGTTGCTTTTGGATCATGCATGTTTAATATGTAGCAAACAATCTGATATAAAAGATCCGTTCCTTGTTGTAAATACAAAGCGGTCACATTTTGACAAATTCCTTTTGAAGGTCACTGTGAAAATGAATAGACAGACGCAAAGTGAATTTATATATTTCGTTGTATCATATACTGGACACATTCTTTTCGATCTTGCAACTGGCACCATGTGTCATTTGACTTACTGGTCCAGACTCGAATATTTACAGGCCGCCATGGTACAGCTGACATATTCGGACTGCGGCGTTAAGCAACCAACACGCCCAGCTTATCACACACTTGTGTTGTTGTCTTTGAAGTTAGCATTCGTGACCAACACGCCCAGCTTATCACACACTTGTGTTGTTGTCTTTGAAGTTAGCATTCGTGACCAACTCGTGTTATTCCGGGACAAGCCGAATAGCGACTCGTGCCCCTCTGGAAGGATTTCATATTGGCGCATGAACATCAGAACTACTTCAAACAGGAACGATAACTCTATTCCTGTTTGATTCCAATGGTACTTAATACCACCGAAGCACTCAAACATTTTATTGCTGTTTTTGTTTTTCCTTATTTATTTTAAAACATTATACCTCTTTGATGCAACTAAAAAAACTAAAAAAAGGGAGAAAAGCATAAGTTTGTTAAAGACATATTCTAACGTAATTATTTCAAGCTGAACACCTTATATTTCAAATTATATTTCTAAATAGGGTTTAATAATCACAAATGGTAATTGTTTTACTGAATATGCAAATAAATGTATAAAACAACGGCTACATTAAATCCCAAAGCAGATACTCAAAAATGTCTTTAAAATATTTCTCAAACTAAACATACGTGTAACCTTGCTGTCATACCCCAAGTGGAATTTTAAATGAATTCGCTGAAAAATATATGAATGACCAATAAAAGGTCAGACTAATTATAAATTATTCCCAGACATGTGGAATATATGCCAAAGTTATAGACCAAAGTTGATTAGTTACTTACAGATATAATATTATTGTTTTGAAACTCGTTGCGATTTATAAATACATTTCCTAAAACTGTTTGATGCGCACGTACAATCACCACAACAAGCCCACAATATCGTCAGAAATACACTCAGTTGGACCCATGAGAGCCGTAATGTCAACAAACGCACGTGCGTGTATTTGAATCTCTCACTGTCAATCGCATGATTCTTATCAAAAACTTCACATTAGACAGTACAATTCTGTTAGCTACGTTTTTAGTACTTTCAATACATATTTTTCATGATTTTTAAAACAACAACAGCCATAAATGATTTAAGTAGTCGGGATTATTTTTTTATCAAAGCACCGCCACCATTACGCGCGTTCTGATTGGTTTGTCGTATTTTCGCACATTAACAAGCATCGATAGGGGGACGAGTCTTCTTGGAGGTTACGGAAAGGGGCGAGTGGTGACGAATGTGGAGTTAGCCGATGCACTGGGTAAAGGGATGTAACTTGTTTGCATCGTCTAACCTATGCTTGTCTTTTACTAATATGATTGTTTGTTCTTGAACGCCGAACTCGGCAATATTCCAGCTATATCATTCTGGCGGCGGTCTGGACTAATCGAGTCAGGACCAGACAATCCAGTGAGCAACAGCATGAGCATCGATCTACGCAAGTGGGATACGATGACATGTGTCAACCAAGTCAGCGAGCCTGACCATCCGATCCCGTTAGTCGCCTCTTACGACAAGCATGGGTTGCTGATGACAATGACTTGTTGGCAGAATGACGTGTTAACAGTATGACCTGTTGCCGAAACAAGTTGTATAGACAGTATGACTTGTTGACGGAATGACGTATTGACAGTATGACTTGTTGACGGAACGACGTATTGACAGTATGACTTGTTGACGGAATGACGTATTGACAGTATGACTTGTTGACGGAATGACGTATTGACAGTATGACTTGTTGACGGAACGACGTATTGACAGTATGACTTGTTGACGGAATGACGTATTGACAGTATGACTTGTTGACGGAATGACGTATTGACAGTATGACTTGTTGACGGAACGACGTATTGACAGTATGACTTGTTGACGGAATGACGTATTGACAGTGTGACTTGTTGATGGAATGACGTACTGACAGTATGACTTGTTGACGGAATGACGTATTGACAGTATGACTTGTTGACGGAACGACGTATTGACGGTATGACTTGATGACAGAAAGACGTATTGACGGTATGAGTTGTTGACGGAATGACTATTGACAGTATGACCTTTGACGGAATGACGTATTGACAGCATGACTTGTTGAGGGAATGACGTATTGAGAGTAAACTTTGTTTACGGAATGACGTATTGGCAGTATAACTGTTGTAGGAACGACGTATTGAGAGTATGACTTGTTGATGGAATGACGTATTGACAGTATGACCTGTTGTAGGAACGACGTATTGACAGTATGACTTGTTGACGGAATGACGTATTGACATTATGACTTGTTGATGGTATGACATATTGAGAGTATGAATTGTTGATGGAATGACGTATTGACATTATGACTTGTTGACGGTATGACATATTGAGAGTATGAATTGTTGATGGAAGGACATATTGAGAGTGACACTTGTTTCGGAATGATGTATTGACAGTATGACTTGACGGAATGATGTATTGACAGTATGACCTGACGGAATGATGTATTGACAGTATGACTTGAGGGAATGACGTATTGACCGTATGACTTGAGGGAATGACGTATTGACAGTATGACTTGAGGGAATGATGTATTGAGAGTATGACTTGAGGGAATGATGTATTGACAGTATGACTTGACGGAATGATGTATTGACAGTATGACTTGGCGGAATGATGTATTGACAGTATGACTTGACGGAATGATGTATTGACAGTATGACTTGGCGGAATGATGTATTGACAGCATGACTTTAGGGAATGATGTATTGACAGCATGACTTTAGGGAATGACGTATTGACAGTAATACTTGAGGGAATGACGTATTGACAGCATGACTTGACGGAATGACGTATTGACAGTATGGCTTGACGGAATGATGTATTGACAGAATGACTTTAGGGAATGATGTATTGACAGCATGACTTGAGGGAATGACGTATTGACAGCATGATTTGAGGGAATGATGTATTGACAGTATGACTTGAGGGAATGATGTATTGACAGTATGACTTGACGGAATGATGTATTGACAGTATGACTTGAGGGAATGATGTATTGACAGTATGACTTAAGGGAATTACGTATTGACCGTATGACTTGAGGGAATGACGTATTGACAGTATGACTTGAGGGAATGACGTATTGACAGTATGACGTAAGGGAATCACGTATTGACAGTATGACTTGACGGAATGACGTATTGACAGTGTGACTTTAGGGAATGACGTATTGACAGTATGACTTGAGGGAATGACGTATTGACAGTATGACTTGATGGAATGACGTATTGACAGTATGACTTGACAGAATGATGTATTGACAGTATGACTTGAGGGAATGATGTATTGACAGTATGACTTGACGGAATGATGTATTGACAGTATGACCTGACGGAATGACGTATTGACAGTATGACCTGACGGAATGATGTATTGACAGTATGACTTGAGGGAATGATGTATTGACAGTATGACTTGAGGGAATGACGTATTGACCGTATGACTTGAGGGAATGACGTATTGACAGTATGACTTGAGGGAATGATGTATTGAGAGTATGACTTGAGGGAATGATGTATTGACAGTATGACTTGACGGAATGACGTATTGACCGTATGACTTGAGGGAATGACGTATTGACAGTATGACTTGAGGGAATGACGTATTGACAGTATGACGTAAGGGAATGACCTATTGACAGTATGACTTGACGGAATGACGTATTGACAGTATGACGTAAGGGGATGATGTATTGACAGTGTGACTTGACGGAATGACGTATTGCCAGTATGACTTGACGGAATGACGTATTGACAGTATGACTTGACGGAATGATGTATTGACAGTATGACTTGAGGGAATGATGAATTGACAGTATGACTTGACGGAATGACGTATTGACAGTATGACTTGAGGGAATGACGTATTGACAGTATGACTTGAGGGAATGACGTATTGACAGTATGACGTAAGGGAATGACGTATTGACAGTATGACTTGAGGGAATGATGTATTGACAGTATGACTTGACGGAATGACGTATTCACAGTATGACTTGACGGAATGACGTATTGACAGTATGACTTAAGGGAATTATGTATTGACAGTATGACTTGAGGGAATGACGATTGGCAGTATGACTTGAGGGAATGACGTATTGACAGTATGACTTGAGGGAATGACGTATTGACAGTATGACTTGAGGGAATGACGTATTGACAGTATGACTTAAGGGGATGACGTATTGACAGTGTGACTTGAGGGAATGATGTATTGACAGTATGACTTGACGGAATGACGTATTGACAGTTAGACTTCACGGAATGACGTATTGACAGTATGACTTGACGGAATTATGTATTGACAGTTAGACTTGACGGAATGACTTATTGACAGCATGACTTGATGGAATGATGTATTGACAGTATGACTTGACGGAATGATGTATTGACAGTTAGACTTGACGGAATGATGTACTGACAGTATGACTTGACGGAATGACGTATTGACAGTTAGACTTGACGGAATGACGTATTGACAGTATGACTTGACGGAATTATGTATTGACAGTTAGACTTGACGGAATGACGTATTGACAGCATGACTTGACGGAATGATGTATTGACAGTATGACTTGAGGGAATGATGTATTGACAGTTAGACTTGACGGAATGATGTATTGACAGTATGACTTGACAGATTGACGTGTTGACAGTATGACTTGAGGGAATGATGTATTGACAGTATTACTTGACGGAATGACGTATTGACGGTATGACTTGAGGGAATGACGTATTGACAGTATGACTTGACGGAGTGATGTATTGACAGTATGACTAGAGGGAATGATGTATTGACAGTTAGACTTGAACGGGATGACGTATTGACGGCATGACTTGACGGAATGATGTATTGACAGTATGACTTGAGGGAATGACGTATTGACAGTATGACTTAAGGGAATGACGTATTGACAGTATGACTTGAGGGAATGATGTATTGACAGTTTGACTTGACGGAATGACGTATTGACAGTATGACTTGAGGGAATGATGAATTGACAGTATGACTTAAGGGAATGACATTTTGACAGTATGACTTGAGGGAATGATGTATTGACAGTATGACCTGACGGAATGACGTATTGACAGTGTGACTTGATGGAATGATGTATTGACAGAATGACTTTAGGGAATGATGTATTGACAGCATGACTTGAGGGAATGACGTATTGACCGTATGACTTGAGGGAATGACGTATTGACAGTATGACTTGATGGAATGACGTATTGACAGTATGACTTGAGGGAATGACGTATTGACAGTATGACGTAAGGGAATGACATATTGACAGTATGACGTGACAGAATGACGTATTGACAGTATGACGTAAGGGGATGACGTATTGACAGTGTGACTTTAGGGAATGACGTATTGACAGTATGACTTGACGGAATGATGTATTGACAGTATGACGTAAGGGAATGACGTATTGACAGTATGACTTGAGGGAATGACGTATTGACAGTATGACTTGAGGGAATGATGAATTGACAGTATGACTTGACGGAATGACGTATTGACAGTATGACTTGACGGAATGACGTATTGACAGTATGACTTGAGGGAATGATGTATTGACAGTATGACTTGAGGGAATGATGAATTGACAGTATGACTTAAGGGAATAACGTATTGAAAGTATGACTTGAGGGAATGATGTACTGACAGTATGACTTGAGGGAATGACGTATTGACCGTATGACTTGAGGGAATGACGTATTGACAGTATGACTTGATGGAATGACGTATTGACAGTATGACTTGAGGGAATGACGTATTGACAGTATGACGTAAGGGAATGACATATTGACAGTATGACGTGACAGAATGACGTATTGACAGTATGACGTAAGGGGATGACGTATTGACAGTGTGACTTTAGGGAATGACGTATTGACAGTATGACTTGACGGAATGATGTATTGACAGTATGACGTAAGGGAATGACGTATTGACAGTATGACTTGAGGGAATGACGTATTTACAGTATGACTTGAGGGAATGATGAATTGACAGTATGACTTGACGGAATGACGTGTTGACAGTATGACTTGACGGAATGACGTATTGACAGTATGACTTGAGGGAGTGATGTATTGACAGTATGACTTGAGGGAATGATGAATTGACAGTATGACTTAAGGGAATAACGTATTGAAAGTATGACTTGAGGGAATGATGTATTGACAGTATGACCTGAGGGAATGACGTATTGACAGAATGACTTGAGGGAATGACGTATTGACGGTATGACTTGAGGGAATGATGTATTGACAGTGTGACTTGACGGAATGATGTTTTGACAGTATGACTTGACGGAATGACTTATTGACAGTATGACTTGAGGGAATGACGTATTGACAGTATGACTTGAGGGAATGATGTACTGACAGTATGACTTGACGGAACGACGTATTGACAGTATGACTTGACGGAATGATGTATTGACAGTTAGACTTGACGGAATGATGTATTGACAGAATGACTTGAGGGAATGACGTATTGACAGTATGACTTGAGGGAATGATGTATTGACAGTGTGACTTGAAGGAATGATGTATTGACAGTATGACTTGAGGGAATGACGTATTAACAGTATGACTTAAGGGGATGACGTATTGACAGTGTGACTTGAGGGAATGATGTATTGACAGTATGACTTGACGGAATGACGTATTGACAGTTAGACATGACGGAATAACGTATTGACAGTATGACCTGACGGAATGATGTATTGACAGTTAGACTTGACGGAATGACGTATTGACATCATGACTTGATGGAATGATGTATTGACAGTATGACTTGATGGAATGATGTATTGACAGTTAGACTTGACGGAATAACGTATTGACAGTATGACTTGACGGAATGACGTATTGACAGTTAGACTTGACGGAATGACGTATTGACAGTATGCCTTGACGGAATTATGTATTGACAGTTAGACTTGACGGAATGACGTATTGACAGCATGACTTGACGGAATGATGTATTGACAGTATGACGTGACGGAATGATGTATTGACAGTTAGACTTGACGGAATGATGTATTGACAGTATGACTTGACAGAATGATGTATTGACAGTATGACCTGACGGAATGATGTATTGACAGTATGACTTGAGGGAATGATCTATTGGCAGTTACACTTGACGGAATGATGTATTGACGGTATGACTTGACGGAATGACGTATTGACATCATGACTTGACGGAGTCATGTATTGACAGTATGACTTGACGGAATGATGTATTGACAGTATGACTTGAGGGAATGACGTATTGACAGTATGACCCGACGGAATGATGTATTGACAGTATGACTTGAGGGAATGATGTATTGACAGTATGACTTGAGGGAATGATGTATTGACAGTTAGACTTGACGGAATGACGTATTGACAGCATGACTTGACGGAATGATGTATTGACAGTATGACTTGGCGGAATGATGAATTGAAAGTATGACTTGAGGGAATGACGTATTGACAGTATGACCTGACGGAATGATGTATTGACAGTATGACTTGACGGAATGATGTATTGACAGTATGACTTGACGGAATGATGACTTGACAGTATGACTTGAGGGAATGATGTATTGACAGTATGACTTGAGGGAATGATGTATTGACAGTATGACTTGAGGGAATGACGTATTGACAGTATGACTTGAGGGAATGATGTATTGACAGTATGACTTGAGGGAATGATGTATTGACAGTATGACTTGAGGGAATGACGTATTGACAGGAAGATTTGTTGACGGAATAACTGATTGACGGTATGACGGGTTGACGTTTTGTTAGATTTAACTTTCTTAACGCATTACCAGAATGAAGTATTGGCGTACTGACAGAATGAAGTATTGGCGTACTGACGGAATGACGTGTTGACGGATTGATGCACAGATTAATTGCCGTAACGACGTAACGACGTATATGATATATGTAAACAAGCATCAGTAATGAACAATTTATAATACATGTGCCCGTTGGACATTACCGAAGGAGCGAGTACAGGATGCTGGAACAGCAGATGTTGTTGTTGCTGGTACTGTCGTTGTTGTTGCTGGTACTGTCGTTGTTGTTGAAGGTACTGTCGCTGTTGTTGCTGGTACTGTCGTTGTTGTTGCTGGTACTGACGTTGTTGTTGCTGGTACTGTCGTTGTTGTTGCTGGTACTGTCGTTGTTGTTGAAGGTTGTGACATAAATAATATCGGATCTGTCGCTGTTGTTGCTGGTACTGACGTTGTTGTTGCTGGTACTGTCGTTGTTGTTGGTAGTACTATCGTCGCTATTGATGATTCAACAGTTGTTGCCGGGACTAAAAATATAAGCATTTCACTGTAGGCAGATTTCATATTTCTTTGTCCGTGTATATCAAGGCCAGTAGGTGTAGCTATTAAACGTTGCTCTTCGCCCCCAACATGGCTGCAAAGCAGTATTAGAATATTGACATCCTTTGAAATTGCGACATAACTGCTCATGCCTTGTATACTAATCGTCAACTCTTTATCTTTGATCAAAGCGAAGTTTTAACATTTATCCTCACTATACCCAATTTTTGTTGAGGAGCATAATAAGGTATCCACACATTCATCTATTCATCCATCCATTCACCCACCCATGCATCCATCATCTATTCACCCATCCATCCATCGTCCATCTGTCCCATTCCATCCAGCGACCCGTCCATCCACCCAACCATGCATCTGTCTACCCATCCATCCATCCATTCATCATCCATCTGTCCCATTCCCTACATCGACCCGTCCACCCACCCAACCATGCATCTGTCTACCCATCCATCCATCCTTTCATCCATTCATCATCCAACTGTCCACCCCCACCCCACCCCCACCCCCACATACCCACCGATCCATCCATTCATACACCAACCCACCCATCCAGCCATCCATCCATCCACCAGCCCATCCCATCCATCTCCAGACTGCTACCCACCTCCAGCCTCCTGACACACGACTCTGTACCAGGCTGTGAGGGGTACCGCCTTCCACTTGCCGCCCATATTGCTGGTTTGGCTGTAAGCGCATTCACCGGAAGAGCCTCCTTCCCATCTTGGTGACGTCATATCAGTTCCGGTTCCGGTTACAACGTCCCACCACTTCCATACCCCGATGACCTTCTTCAGCCCCAACCAGTGCTGCCCGTATTGACTTCCTGTGGCAAGGGAGATAATCTATACTAGGCGTCATTAATAAAGGGTCAAATGATATATAGCAGATGTAAAGAAATTGTTTTCCAGAAATAATAGAACTAAGAGTGTCATCATAATGCTTAATGTGTTGACAAACGTGACGCATCGTGACATACAAAAAGTTCAAACAGCACTAGCAAACATCAGTTGTATACACCAACCACCCAAAATGAAAATGACAAACGTGAAACACTCGGTCATTCAATATCTGTGTACGCTCCTCGCCCGTCCAAGACACAAGATCTGCTGCGTTAAGGAATCTGTTATGTAACGCAGTGTTAATCATGTGCCTATCATCTCGGACTGTTGTGACTCTGGAGCGACCTGGTCGACGTGCATATTCCACGGATCGATCTACGCAATTTGGATACGACAACAGTATATATGACACCATGAAAAGGACAATATAGAACCAAGTACAACTTGGCTTGTAAGATGATGTTGTGAAGGAGTCTGACATTATTATTTATACATATGGATTGTACAAGGATGTTACCCCTACCTAGTGCAGCGTACACGCTCTCCTGGGTAGCCTCGACTTGGAAGTCCGGTAATTGTGTCGATTCACTCAAACAAAGTGCCTCTGCAGTGGCGTATTGTACATTATTATTGAAACCGTAGTAACAGACCCCGCCCACTATGGCGGTCATGTGCAGAGCAGGATCAGACAAGAACTTGGGACAGTTGCCACCTGTTGAACAAAATCAGTTTGCCAAATGAGTTACGAATAGAACTATATGAATGTCATTATGCTTTTTTGGGTGGAGAATGCTTGTGTTGACTGGTCAGAGTGATGGAACTAGATCTGGTCTGGAGGAGAGATGAGAGGAGAACAAGATGTCGTCTAGAGGAGAGGTGACAGTGGAGAGAGGAGGAAGATGTAGTCTGGAGGAGAGGTAAGAAGAGAACAAAATGTCGTCTGGAGGAGACGTGAGATGAGACAAAGATGTCGTCTGGGAGAGAGGTGACAAAGGAAAAAGATGTCGTCTGGAGGTGAGGTAAGAGAGGAGATGTCGTCTGGAGGAGAGGTAAGAGGGAGAAAGATGTCGCGTGGTGGTAGAAAATGGCTACAGCACCAGCGTCTCACCTGTTTCTCACAAAAAAGAAGGGTACATGACAAAGGGTACATGACGAAGGGTACACAGAGTCATATGATATAAGTGAGTCTGTACTCATAGGTAAACACAGTTGGTTGGGTGCATGATATATTCCTAGAGATATGTTGACAACGAATTCATCTTATCGACATCGATTCAAACTGGACCAGAATATATTTCTGCAGTTACACTGCGTTAGCAAGAATCATTACAATTACAGTCATATTATTGAAGCATCGGGTAGGAATTGGTCTTCAGCAACCCATGCTTAGGCGACTAACGGGATCGGGTGGTCAGGCTCGCTGACTTGGTTGACACATGTCATCGGTTCCTCCTTGACTAGATCGATGCTCCTGCTGTTGATCACTGGATTGTTTGGTCCAGGCTCGAGTATTTACAGACCATCGCCATATAGCTGGATTATTGCCGAGTACGGCGTTCAAGAACAAACAATCATATTCGTGAAAGACAAACATAGGGGGAGACGACGCAAACGAGTTACCTCCCTTTACCCGGGCGCAAAGACTCAACAATACAGGTGTGTGATAAGCTTAACGTGTTTGTTGCTTAATGGCGCTGTCAGTCATTGTCAGCTACATGAGTCGGCGGCCTTTAGGACAATAAACTTCTCAATATCTTTTACCTGTGACATCTGGCGCTGTTGTTGCTGGTACTGACGTTGTTGTTGTTGGTACTGTCGTCGCTATTGATGATTCAACAGTTGTAGCCGGGACTAAAAATATAAGGACGGCAGATTAAAAGTGTTGCTGTAGGCAAATGAATTTTAATTTTAAACTTTAATAACATCGTATTTCTATATTTTATGGCGAGGTGTAAGCAGTATGATCTTAACTAAGACGTCACAGACTGCCCCTGTTTGATGAGGTCGTAAAATAATTCACAATTCATCTGGCTCACTGGTTACATGTTATGTGCTTTTTGCGCTCATTCAGTGTAGTTTTGTAACGCATAATGTGATTGATATAATATCAAGTCCGTACCAGACTGCCAAACTTTTCTAGCGACAGAGCGTCGTTTTGAGATTTCCACGATTTCCAGATTTCCGTTTTCAGAGCACGCTGCACAACGTGTTTGCAAGGATTAGAAGGAGCGTAGTGTTGCAACATACAAGTGCTTAGATGTATCAAATAATACTGATTAGTATTTATGTATCCAGTTGAATGTATTTGTTTCAAAATTCTGGACTGGTTATTGTACTAACTTGCGCAATAGGACGGAACTCAGCCAGCAGGAAACGAGACTGTTGTGTAATCAATGTTTTGACTTGGATTGCTGAAGAGCGTAATAAGTTATGGTCAATGGACTTCCCATCCATAAATCCGTCTATCCATTCATCCATCCATCCATCTGTCAACCCACCCAACCACCCATCCATCCATCCATCCATCCATCCATCATCCACCCAACCATCCATCCATCCTTCCATCAATCCATCATCCGCCCAACCACCCATCCATCCATCCATCTATCCACCCATCCATACACCTAACCACCCATCCATCCATCCATCCATCCCATCCATCTCCGGACTGCTACCCACCTCCAGCCTCCTGACACACGACTCTGTACCAGGCTGTGAGGGGTACCGCCTTCCACTTGCCGCCCATATTGCTGGTTTGGCTGTAAGCGCATTCACCGGAAGAGCCTCCTTCCCATCTTGGTGACGTCATATCAGTTCCGGTTACGGTTACAACGTCCCACCACTTCCATACCCCGCTAACCTTCTTCAGCCCCAACCAGTGCTGTCCGTATTGGCTTCCTGTGGCAAGGGAGATAATCTATACTAGGCGTCATTAATAAAGGGTCAAATGATATATAGCAGATGTAAAGAAATTGTTTTTCAGAAATAATAGAACTAAGAGTGTCATCATAATGTTTAATGTTTTGACAAACGTGACGCATCGTGACATACAGACAAACAGTTCAAAAAGCACTAGCAAACATCAATTGTATTGACCAATCCCCAAAATGAAAATGACAAACGTGAAGCACTCGGTCATTCAATATCTTGTGTACCCTCCTCGCGCGTCCAAGACATAGGTGCACCTTGTTCTCATGCTCCTTATCAAGTTCATAAAGAAAGCTTGAGGAATCGCATTCCATTCTTCTACTAGAGCTCTGCGGAGTCCTCGGGGATCCACTGCTAGCATGCTCAATTGGGTTGAGGCCACTCCATCCGCTCTACACCCTGCTGCCTAAGTAATTCCGTGACAATCCTGGCCCTATGAGGCCTCGCGTTGTCGTCTTGCAGTAAAGAGTGTCGACCATAAAAAGCCATGCATAACTTGCAGGAATGGTACTGCTATAGGAGCCAGAATCTCGTCCCAATAACGTGATTCGCTTTTCATTGCGTCGATAAATCCTCCGACCATCATTGAAGGACACATTGAATCATCTGCCTTCAACTGTGAAGAGCACGCAGGACCATTGACGTTGATTCCAGCGGCCATGATGTCTACTCCAGCTCAAACGCGTCTGCTTGTGACGTATTGTTGTTGGTGGACGAACTGCAGGTCGCCTACAGCGGAATCCGGCTGCCCTTAAACGTCGACGAACGGTGCTCCTGGATATCCAATGTTAACACTGAAGTGCTGTCTGGAGATCTGCTGCGTTAAGGAATCTGTTATGTAACGCAGTGTTAATCATGTGCCTATCATCTCGGACTGTTGTGACTCTGGAGCGACCTGGTCGACGTGCATATTCCACGGATCGATCTACGCAATTTGGATACGACAACAGTATATATGACACCATGAAAAGGACAATATAGAACCAAGTACAACTTGGCTTGTAAGATGATGTTGTGAAGGAGTCTGACATTATTATTTATACATATGGATTGTACAAGGATGTTACCCCTACCTAGTGCAGCGTACACGCTCTCCTGGGTAGCCTCGACTTGGAAGTCCGGTAATTGTGTCGATTCACTCAAACAAAGTGCCTCTGCAGTGGCGTATTGTACATTATTATTGAAACCGTAGTAACAGACCCCGCCCACTATGGCGGTCATGTGCAGAGCAGGATCAGACAAGAACTTGGGACAGTTGCCACCTGTTGAACAAAATCAGTTTGCCAAATGAGTTACGAATAGAACTATATGAATGTTATTATGCTTTTTTGGGTGGAGAATGCTTGTGTTGACTGGTCAGAGTGATGGAACTAGATCTGGTCTGGAGGAGAGATGAGAGGAGAACAAGATGTCGTCTAGAGGAGAGGTGACAGTGGAGAGAGGAGGAAGATGTAGTCTGGAGGAGAGGTAAGAAGAGAACAAAATGTCGTCTGGAGGAGACGTGAGAAGAGACAAAGATGTCGTCTGGGAGAGAGGTGACAAAGGAAAAAGATGTCGTCTGGAGGTGAGGTAAGAGAGGAGATGTCGTCTGGAGGAGAGGTAAGAGGGAGAAAGATGTCGCGTGGTGGTAGAAAATGGCTACAGCACCAGCGTCTCACCTGTTTCTCACAAAAAAAGAAGGGTACATGACAAAGGGTACATGACGAAGGGTACACAGAGTCATATGATATAAGTGAGTCTGTACTCATAGGTAAACACAGTTGGTTGGGTGCATGATATATTCCTAGAGATAGGTTGACAACGAATTCATCTTATCGACATCGATTCAAACTGGACCAGAATATATTTCTGCAGTTACACTGCGTTAGCAAGAATCATTACAATTACAGTCATATTATTGAAGCATCGGGTAGGAATTGGTCTTCAGCAACCCATGCTTAGGCGACTAACGGGATCGGGTGGTCAGGCTCGCTGACTTGGTTGACACATGTCATCGGTTCCTCCTTGACTAGATCGATGCTCCTGCTGTTGATCACTGGATTGTTTGGTCCAGGCTCGAGTATTTACAGACCATCGCCATATAGCTGGATTATTGCCGAGTACGGCGTTCAAGAACAAACAATCATATTCGTGAAAGACAAACATAGGGGGAGACGACGCAAACGAGTTACCTCCCTTTACCCGGGCGCAAAGACTCAACAATACAGGTGTGTGATATGCTTAACGTGTTTGTTGCTTAATGGCGCTGTCAGTCATTGTCAGCTACATGAGTCGGCGGCCTTTAGGACAATAAACTTCTCAATATCTTTTACCTGTGACATCTGGCGCTGTTGTTGCTGGTACTGACGTTGTTGTTGTTGGTACTGTCGTCGCTATTGATGATTCAACAGTTGTAGCCGGGACTGAAAATATAAGGACGGCAGATTAAAAGTGCTGCTGTAGGCAGATTTCAAATTTCTTTGTCCGTGTATATTAAGACCAGTAGGTGTAGCTGTTAAACGTTGCTCTTCACCCTCAACATGGCTGCAATGCAGTATAAGAATATTGACATCCTTTGAAAGTACGACCTAACTGCTCATGTCTAGTATGTTAATTGTCAACACTTTATCTTTGTTCAAACGATTATTTTTAACATTTATCTTCACAAACCGAAACATCAGTTTCATTAACCTATTCGGACAATGACCTACTTTTCAGCCGACCCGAATTTTCTCGTGTGAAAGTGAAAAAAAGACACCACAAACACCTATGGTTACACTGAATTCCAATTCCTTGTTTCATAAAAAAATGGTATTTACAAATGAATTTTAATTTTAAACTTTAATAACATCATATTTCTATATTTTATGGCGAGGTGTAAGCAGTATGATCTTAACTAAGACGTCACAGACTGCCCCTGTTTGATGAGGTCGTAAAATAATTCACAATTCATCTGGCTCACTGGTTACATGTTATGTGCTTTTTGCGCTCATTCAGTGTAGTTTTGTAACGCATAATGTGATTGATATAATATCAAGTCCGTACCAGACTGCCAAACTTTTCTAGCGACAGAGCGTCGTTTTGAGATTTCCACGATTTCCAGATTTCCGTTTTCAGAGCACGCTGCACAACGTGTTTGCAAGGATTAGAAGGAGCATAGTGTTGCAACATACAAGTGCTTAGATGTATCAAATAATACTGATTAGTATTTATGTATCCAGTTGAATGTATTTGTTTCAAAATTCTGGACTGGTTATTGTACTAACTTGCGCAATAGGACGGAACTCAGCCAGCAGGAAACGAGACTGTTGTGTAATCAATGTTTTGACTTGGATTGCTGAAGAGCGTAATAAGTTATGGTCAATGGACTTCCCATCCATAAATCCGTCTATCCATTCATCCATCCATCCATCTGTCAACCCACCCAACCACCCATCCATCCATCCATCCATCCATCATCCACCCAACCACCCATCCATCCATCCATCCATCAATCCATCATCCACCCAACCATCCATCCATCCATCCATCTATCCATCCATCCATACACCTAACCACCCATCCATCCATCCATCCATCCATCCCATCCATCTCCGGACTGCTACCCACCTCCAGCCTCCTGACACACGACTCTGTACCAGGCTGTGAGGGGTACCGCCTTCCACTTGCCGCCCATATTGCTGGTTTGGCTGTAAGCGCATTCACCGGAAGAGCCTCCTTCCCATCTTGGTGACGTCATATCAGTTCCGGTTACGGTTACAACGTCCCACCACTTCCATACCCCGCTAACCTTCTTCAGCCCCAACCAGTGCTGTCCGTATTGGCTTCCTGTGGCAAGGGAGATAATCTATACTAGGCGTCATTAATAAAGGGTCAAATGATATATAGCAGATGTAAAGAAATTGTTTTCCAGAAATAATAGAACTAAGAGTGTCATCATAATGTTTAATGTTTTGACAAACGAGACGCATCGTGACATACAGACAAACAGTTCCAAAAGCACTAGCAAACATCAGTTGTATAGACCAATCCCCAAAATGAAAAGGACAAACGTGAAGCACTCGGTCATTCAATATCTTGTGTACCCTCCTCGCGCGTCCAAGACATAGGTGCACCTTGTTCTCATGCTCCTTATCAAGTTCATAAAGAAAGCTTGAGGAATCGCATTCCATTCTTCTACTAGAGCTCTGCGGAGTCCTCGGGGATCCACTGCTAGCATGCTCAATTGGGTTGAGGCCACTCCATCCGCTCTACACCCTGCTGCCTAAGTAATTCCGTGACAATCCTGGCCCTATGAGGCCTCGCGTTGTCGTCTTGCAGTAAAGAGTGTCGACCATAAAAAGCCATGCATAACTTGCAGGAATGGTACTGCTATAGGAGCCAGAATCTCGTCCCAATAACGTGATTCGCTTTTCATTGCGTCGATAAATCCTCCGACCATCATTGAAGGACACATTGAATCATCTGCCTTCAACTGTGAAGAGCACGCAGGACCATTGACGTTGATTCCAGCGGCCATGATGTCTACTCCAGCTCAAACGCGTCTGCTTGTGACGTATTGTTGTTGGTGGACGAACTGCAGGTCGCCTACAGCGGAATCCGGCTGCCCTTAAACGTCGACGAACGGTGCTCCTGGATATCCAATGTTAACACTGAAGTGCTGTCTGGAGATCTGCTGCGTTAAGGAATCTGTTATGTAACGCAGTGTTAATCATGTGCCTATCATCTCGGACTGTTGTGACTCTGGAGCCACCTGGTCGACGTGCATATTCCACGGACCGATCACAATTCATTGATCAACAGCATGAGCATCGATCTACGCAATTTGGATACGACAACAGTATATATGACACCATGAAAAGGACAATATAGAACCAAGTACAACTTGGATTGTAAGATAATGTTGTGAAGGAGTCTGACATTATTATTTATACATATGGACTGCACAAGGATGTTACCCCTACCTAGTGCAGCGTACACACTCTCCTGGGTAGCCTCGACTTGGAAGTCCGGTAATTGTGTCGATTCACTCAAACAAAGTGCCTCTGCAGTGGCGTATTGTACATTATTATTGAAACCGTAGTAACAGACCCCACCCACTATGGCGGTCATGTGCAGAGCAGGATCAGACAAGAACTTGGGGCAGTTGCCACCTGTTGAACAAAATCAGTTTGCCAAATGAGTTACGAATATAACTGTATGAATATGATTATACTGCGTGGAGAATGCTTGTGTTGTCTGGTCAGAGTGATGGAAGGATATTTGGTCTGGAGGAGAGATGAAAGGAAAATAAGATGTTATTTAGAGGAAAGGTGACAATGGAGAAAGATGTCGTCTGGAGGAGAGGTGAGAGGAGAGAAAGATGTCGTCTGGAGAAGAGGTGAGAGTGGAGAAAGATGTCGTCTGGGAGAGAGGTGAGAGGGGAGAAAGATGTCGTCTGGGGGAGAGATGAGAGGGGAGAAAGTATGTCGTCTGGGAGAGAGGTGAGAGGGGAGAAAGATGTCGTCTGGGGGAGAGGTACGAGCGGACAAAGATGTCTCCTGGTTGAGGGATGAGAGAGGAGAAAGACGTCGTCTGGGGGAGAGGTGAGAGGGGAGAAAGATGTCTGGAGGAGAGGGAGAAAGATGTCGTCAGGGGGAGAAGTAAGAGGGGAGAAAGATGTCGTCTGGGGGGAGAGATGAGAGGGGAGAAAGATGTCGGCTGTAGGTGAGGTGAGAGGGGAGAAAGATGTCGTCTGGGGGGAGAGATGACAAGGGAGAAAGATGTCGTTTGGAGGTGAGGTGAGACGGTGAGAAAGATTTCGTCTGGAGGTGAGGTGAGAGGGGATAAAATATGTCGTCTGGGAGAGAGATGAGAGGGGAGAAAGATGTATGGAGGTGAGCTGAGAGGGTAGAAAGATGTCGTCTGGAGGTGAGGTGAGAGGGGTGAAAGATGTCGTCTGGGAGAGAGGTTAGAGGGGAGAAATATGTCTGGGGGAGAGATGAGAGGGGATAAAGATGTCGTCTAGGAGAGAGATGAGATGGGATAAAAATGTTGTCTAGGAGAGAGATGAGAGGGGATAAAGATCTGGTCTAGAAGAAAGATGAGATGGGATAAAGATGTCGTCTGGGAGAGAGATGAGAGGGGAGAAAGATGCCGTCTGGGAGAGAGATGAGAGGGGAGAAAGATGTCGTCTGGGAGAGAGATGAGAGGGGAGAAAGATGTCTGGGGGAGAGATGAGAGGGAGAAAGATGTCATCAGGGGGAGAGATGAGAGGGAGAAAAATGACGTCTGGAGGAGAGATGAGAGGGAGAATGATGTCGTCTGGAAGAGAGATGAGGGGGCAGAAAGATGTGATCCGGGGAAGAGATGAGAGGGAGAGAGATGACGTCTGGAGGAGAGATGAGAGGGGGAAAGATGTCGTCTGTAGGAGAGATGAGAGGGGAGAAAGATGTCTGGGGAGAGATGAGAGGCGAGAAAGATGTCGGGGGAGGGTTGAGAGGGGAGAGAGATGTCGTCTGGAGGTGAGGTGAGAGGGGACAAAGATGTGGTCTGGAGGAGATATGAGAGGGAAGAAAGATGTCATCTGAAGGAGAGATGAGAGGAGAGAAAGATGTCGTCTGGAGGTGAGGTGAGAGGGGAGAAAAATTTCGTCTGGGAGAGAGGTGAGAGGGGAGAAAGATGTCGTCTGGGGAAAGAGGGGAGAAAGATGTCAAAGAGAGAGGGAGAAAGATGTCGTCTGGTGGTGAGGTGAGAGGGAGAAAGATGTCTGTCTGGGAGAGACAGATGAGAGGAGGTGAGAAAGACGTCGTATGGAGGTGAGGAAAGAGGGAGAGAAAGATGAGAGAACGAGGTGGATGGAGAGAGACGAGGGAGAAAGACGCCGGAGAGAGACGAGGAGACGGAGAAAGACACCCGGGAGAGAAACGAGGAGAAAGACGGAGGAGGAGGAGGAAAGACCGGAGGGGAGGAGGACGAGAGGAAGACAAGGAAACCCAGGAGGGAGTGGAGACAGAGAGACACCCGGAGGAGACGGAGAAGGAAGGACAGAAAGGAGAAAGACGAGAGGAGAGGAGAAAGGACACAAGACGAGAAAAGAGGAGAATGAGAGGAGAGGAAGAAAGACAGGTGAGAGGAGACGGACAGCCCCAGGAGGAAAGGACGAGAGGAGAGATGAGAGAGAGGTGGAGAAAGACACGGGAGATGAGGAGGACGAGGACCCACGGAGGAGACGAGAGAGAAACGATGAGAGAAAGACGTGGAGAAAGACGTCCCTGGAGGAGACAGGAGGAGAAAGACGACCACCCGGAGGAGAGACAAGACGAGGAGGGAAAGAAAGGAAGCCCCAGGAGAGACGAGAGGAGAAAGAAACCGTCAGTGACGAGAGGGAGGATGAGAGGAGAGAAAGACGCCCGGGAGAGACGAGGAAAGACAGATGAGAAAGACATCCAGGGAGAGAGGGAGGACGGAGAGAAAGACCGGAGGAGAGACGAGGGAGAAAGACACCCGGAGGAGGAGAAAGATGGACAACGAGGAGAGACAAGACCCGGAGGAGATGAGGGAGGAAAGATAAAGACGATGGAGAGAGACAGACAGGAGGAGAGAGGAGGAGAAAGAAGAGGAAAGGAGGAGGAAAGAGGGAGAAAGACATCAACCCAAGAGAGGTGGAGAGAGAGACCCGGAGGAGAGAGAGGAAGAGGAGGAGAAAGACGTCAAACCCGGGAGAGAGGAGAGGGAGGAAGACAAACGGAGGTGGAGGATGAGAGAAAGAGACAATGGGAGGAGAGAGCCGAGAAAGACGGAAGAGAAAGGACGAAGGGAGGAGAGGACCCGAGGAGAAAGACGAAGGAGAAAGAGATGGAGGGAGAAAGATGTCAACCTGAGGAGAGGGAAAGATGAGACGGATGAGGGAGGAAGACGCCAGAGAGAAATGAGAGAGGAGATGAAGGAGGGACAACACAGAGGAGAGACGGAGAAAGACAGACACCCAGGAGAGAGACGAGAGGGAGAAAGATGGAGAGGATGGAGAGGAGAGGGAGAAGACAGGAGGGAGGAGAGAGAGGGAGGAAAGATGTCGAATGGAGAGACGAGAGGAGAGAAAGATGCAGGAGGACCGAGAGGACAGGAGAAAGACATAAATGGAAACTGGGGAGAGACGAGAGGGAGAAAGATGGAACAAAGGAGGAGGGGAGAGAGATGAGAGGGAGAAAAGACAAACGGGGAGAGACCTGGAGGGGAGAAAGATGTCAAATGGAGGAGAGAGAAAGAGAAAGATGTCGTGAGAGGGATGAGAGATGAGGAAGATAAACAGGAGAGATGAGAGGAGAGGAAAGATGTCTGGAGGAGAGATGAGAGGAGAGGAAAGATGTCAACGGAGAGAGATGACGAGGGAGAAAGATGGATGAGGAGGAGAGATGAGAGGGGAGAAAGACAAACTGGAGGAGAGGTGAGAGGGAGAAAGATGTCAGAGAAAGGTGAGGAGAGAAAGATGAGGGGAGAAAGAAAGATCAACAGAGGGAGAGGGGAGAAAGATGAAAGACTGGGGAGAGAGAGGAGATGGAGGAGGAGGATAAATGAGACGAGGAGGAAAGAGAAATGGAGGGGGAGAAGATGAGATGGGAGGAAAATGGGGGGAGAGATGAGAGGGAGAAAGACAAACAAATGGGGAGATGAGAGGGAGAAAATAAATGTCTGGGGGAGAGATGGAGAGGGGAGAAAGATGTCAAACTGGGGAGAGAGGATGAAGATAAACAAAGAGATGAGATGAGAGATGGGATAAAGATAAACAAACATGAGAGATGAGATGGATAAAGTCTGGGAGAGAGGAGAGGGGAGAAAGGAAGAGGTGAGAGGAGATAGAGAAAGGAGAAAGATGAGAAAGACAGCCCAGAGAGAGAGAGGGAGGAAAGATGAATGGGAGAAAAGATGGGGAGAGAGAGATGAGAAACAGGAGACAAGAGGGGGACAAAATGGAGAGAGAGAGAGAAAGATGTCTGGAGGAGAGGAGAGGGAGAAAGATGTCAAAGGGAGAGAGATGAGAGAGATAAAGATGAAAGACGAGACCGAGGTGAGAGAGATGAGGATGGGAAAAGATAAACAGAGACGGAGAGATGGAAGAAAGAGGAAAGACAAATGGGAGGGGAGAGAGATGAGATGGAGAGAGGGGAAGATAAACAGGGGGAGGGAGAGAGAGGGAAGAAAGAGAAATGGGGAGAAAGAGAGATGAGGAAAGGAGAAAGATGGAGAAAGATGTCAAATGAGAGGTGAGAGAGAGAGAGGGAGGAAAAGATGTCGTCTGGAAGAAGAGGAGAGAGAGAAAGAAAGACAAACAGGGAGGAGAGGAGGCGAGAAAGACATGTCAGAGGAGAAAGACTGAGAGATGAGAGGGAAGAAAGATGTCATCTGGAAGGAGAGGTGAGAGGAGAGAAAGATGTCGTCTGGAGAAGAGGTGAGAGGGAGAAAGATGTCGTCCTGGGAGAGAGGAGAGGAGAGAAAGATGTCGTCTGGGGGAGAGAGATGAGGAGAAAGATGTCGTCTGGGGGAGAGATGAGAGGGAGAAAGATGTCAGTCTGGGGAGAGATGAGAGGGAGAAAGGATGTCGTCTGGGGAGAGAGGTGAGAGGGGAGAAAGATGTCGTCTGGGGAGGAATGAGACGGGATGAAAGATGTCGTCTGGGAGAGAGATGAGACTGGAGAAAGTATGTCGTCTGGGAGAGAGATGAGAGGGAGAAAGATGTCAGTCTGGGAGAGAGGTGAGAGGGAGAAAGATGTCGTCTGGGGAGAGATGAGAGGGATAAAGATGTCGCCTAGGAGAGAGATGAGATGGGATAAAGATGTCAGTCTAGAGAGAGATGAGAGGGGATAAAGATGTCGTCCCAGGAGAGAGATGAGATGGAGAAAGACATGTCGTCTGGGGAGAGAGATGACAGGGGAGAAAGGATGTCGTCTGGGGGGAGAGAGATGAGGGGAGAAAGACATGTCTAGGAGAGAGATGAGAGGGAGAAAGATGTCGTCTGGGAGAGAGATGAGATGGGATAAAGATGTCGTCTAGGAGAGAGATGAGAGGGGAGAAATTATGTCGTCTAGGAGAGAGATGAGAGGGGAGGAAGATGCCGTCTGGGAGAGAGATGAGATGGGATAAAGATGTCGTGTAGGAGAGAGATGAGAGGGGAGAAAGTATGTCGTCAGGGAGAGACATGAGAGGGGATAAAGATGTCGTCTAGGACAGAGATGAGAGGGGAGAAAGTATGTCGTCTAGGAGAGAGATGAGATGGGATAAAGATGTCGTCTGGAAGAGAGATGAGAGGGGTTAAGGATGTCGTCTAGGAGAGAGATGAGATGGGATAAAGAATTTCGTCTGGGAGAGAGATGAGTCGGGTGAAAGATGTCGTCTGGGAGAGAGATGAGACGGGTGAAAGATGTCGTCTGGGAGAGAGTTGAGACGGGTGAAAGATGTCGTCTGGGAGAGAGATGAGACGGGTGAAAGATGTCGTCTGGGAGAGCGATGAGGGGGAGAAAGAATGTCGTCTGGGGGAGAGATGAGACGGGAGAAAGATGTCGTCTGGGAGAGAGAGGAGAGGAGAGAAAGATGTCGTCTGGGAGAGACATGAGAGGGGATAAAGATGTCGTCTAGGACAGAGATGAGAGGGGAGAAAGTATGTCGTCTAGGAGAGAGATGAGATGGGATAAAGATGTCGTCTGGAAGAGAGATGAGAGGGGTTAAGGATGTCGTCTAGGAGAGAGATGAGATGGGATAAAGAATTTCGTCTGGGAGAGAGATGAGTCGGGTGAAAGATGTCGTCTGGGAGAGAGATGAGACGGGTGAAAGATGTCGTCTGGGAGAGAGTTGAGACGGGTGAAAGATGTCGTCTGGGAGAGAGATGAGACGGGTGAAAGATGTCGTCTGGGAGAGCGATGAGGGGGAGAAAGAATGTCGTCTGGGGGAGAGATGAGACGGGAGAAAGATGTCGTCTGGGAGAGAGAGGAGAGGAGAGAAAGATGTCGTCTGGGGAGAGATGAGAGGAGAGAAAGATGTCGTCTGGATTAGGGATGAGAGGGGAGAAAGATGTCATCTGGAGGAGAGATGAGAGGGGAGAGAGATGTCATCTGGGGGAGAGATGAGAGGGAGAGAGATGACGTCTGGAGGAGAGATGAGAGGGATAAAGATGTCGTCTGGGGGAGAGATGAGAGGGGAGAAAGATGTCGTCTGGGAGAGAGATGAGATGGGATAAAGATGTCGTCTGAGGAGAGAGATGAGAGGGGAGATAGATGTCTGGGGGAAAGATGAGAGGCGAGAAAGATGTCGTCTGGAGGTGAGGTGAGAGGGGAGAAAGATGTCGTCTGGATGAGAGATGAGAGGGAAGATAGATGTCATCTGTTGGAGAGATGAGAGGAAAGAAAGATGTCGTCTGGAGGAGAGGTGAGAGGGGAGAAAGATGTCGTCTGGATGAGAGGTGAGAGGGGAGAAAGTATTTCGTCTGGGAGTGATATGAGAGGGGAGAAAGATGTCGTCTTGGTGAGGGCGATGAGAGGGGAGAAAGATGTCGTCTGGGAGAGAGATGAGAGGGTAGAAAGATGTCGTCTGGGAGTGAGATGAGAGGGGAGAAAGATGTCGTCTGGATTAGGGATAAGAGGGGAGAAAGATGGCATCTGGAGGAGACATGAGAGGGAGAGAGATGTCTTCTGGGGGAGAGATGAGAGGGAGAGAGATGACGTCTGGAGGAGAGATAAGAGGGAGAAAGATGTCGTCTGGAGGAGAGGTGAGGGGGGAGAAAGATGTCATCTGGGGGAGACATGAGAGGGAGAAAGATGTCATCTGGGGGAGAGATGAGAGGGAGAGAGATGACGTCTGGAGGAGAGATAAGAGGGAGAAAGATGTCGTCTGGAGGAGAGATGAGGGGGGAGAAAGATGTCATCTTGGGGAGAGATGAGAGGGAGAAAGATGACGTCTGGAGGAGAGAGGAGAGGTGGAAAGATGTCGGCTGGAGGAGAGATGAGAGGGAGAAAGATGACGTCTGGGGGAGTGATGAGAGGGAGAAAGATGTCGTATGGTTGAGAGATGAGAGGAGAGAAAGATGTCGTCTGGAAAAGAGATGAGAGGGAAGAGAGATGTCGTCTGGATGAGAGATGAGAGGGAAGAAAGATGTCGTCTGGATGAGGGATGAGAGGGGAGAAAGATGTCGTCTGGAGGTTAGGTGAGAGGGGAGAAAGGTGTCGTTTTGGATTGATGATGACAGGAAATACCTTACCCACGTGAGTCCATCTTGTCAAAAAGAACACAAATGTCGTGAGAGTCTTCTGCAAAGTATCTCCCATGGCTTATGTCAGCTCAACTGTTTCCGTGGTCACTGATCTGTAACATACCGTGATTGCATATAAAGCTCTCTCTCGGTGTTGCTTGTTCCGGTATATTTGGACTAAAATGAGCCCCGAGGAAACGACTACCGTATGAAAACAGTTAAATGTATTTATTGCTCACACAACATGTTATCTTATCCCTATCAAGACTTGCTGATCATCACCATACAGTACCTGAAATAACATGTCTGAATTGATTTTGTATTCTTCTTACAGAAAACTTAATATTTGAGACATGAAAATCCGTTAAAATTACGTGTTGGTTTTTGCTTGATACTTTCGTGACGGCACTTTCCAGGAACTCGTTTCCAAGGTTACATGATAGCGTATACTTCTATTTGTTTTACGAAGAGCCTATGTCAGATGATTCATCTACTTTAAATTATTGATTTAGTCCTCTTCGAACATCTACGGTTGACTGTCGGACAGGGTAGTGTTTTAGGAACATCTACGGTGGTCTGTCGGACAGGGTAGTGTGTTAGGGACATCTACGGTTGTCTGTCGGGCAGGGTAGTGTTTTATGGTCATCTACGGTGGTCTGTCGGACAGGGTAGTTTTTTAGGGACATCTACGGTTGACTGTCGGACAGGGTAGTGTTTTAGGAACATCTACGGTTGACTGTCGGACAGGGTAGTGTTTTAGGGACATCTACGGTTGACTGTCGGACAGGGTAGTGTTTTAGGGACATCTACGGTTGACTGTAAGACAGGGTAGTGTTTTAGGGATATCTACGGTTGACTTTCGGACAGGGTAGTGTTTTATGGTCATCTGCGGTGGTCTGTCGGAGAGGGTAGTGTTTTAGGGACATCTATGGTGGTCTGTCGGAGAGGGTAGTGTTTTAGGGACATCTACGGTGGTCTGTCGGACAAGGTAGTGTTTTAGGGACATCTACGGTTGACTGTCGGACAGGGTAGTGTTTTATGGTCATCTACGGTGGTCTGTCGGACAGGGTAGTGTTTTAGGAACATCTACTGTTCACTGTCGGACAGGGTAGTGTTTTAGGAACATCTACTGTTCACTGTCGGACAGGGTAGGGTTTTAGGGACATCTACGGTTGTCTGTCGGACAGGGTAGTGTTTTATGGTCCTCTACGGTGGTCTGTCGGACAGGGTAGTTTTTTAAGGAACATCTACGGTTGACTGTCGGACAGGGTAGTGTTTTAGGGACATCTACGGTTGACTGTCAGACAGGGTAGTGTTTTAGGAACATCTATGGTGGTCTGTCGGACAGGGTAGTGTTTTAGGAAATCTACGGTTGACTGTCGGACAGGGTAGTGTTTTAGGGACATCTACGGTTGACTGTCGGACAGGGTAGTGTTTTAGGGACATCTACGGTTGACTGTAAGACAGGGTAGTGTTTTAGGGATATCTACGGTTGACTTTCGGACAGGGTAGTGTTTTATGGTCATCTGCGGTGGTCTGTCGGAGAGGGTAGTGTTTTAGGGACATCTATGGTGGTCTGTCGGAGAGGGTAGTGTTTTAGGGACATCTACGGTGGTCTGTCGGACAAGGTAGTGTTTTAGGGACATCTACGGTTGACTGTCGGACAGGGTAGTGTTTTATGGTCATCTACGGTGGTCTGTCGGACAGGGTAGTGTTTTAGGAACATCTACTGTTCACTGTCGGACAGGGTAGTGTTCTAGGAACATCTACTGTTCACTGTCGGACAGGGTAGGGTTTTAGGGACATCTACGGTTGTCTGTCGGACAGGGTAGTGTTTTATGGTCCTCTACGGTGGTCTGTCGGACAGGGTAGTTTTTTAGGGACATCTACGGTTGACTGTCTGACAGGGTAGTGTTTTAGGGACATCTACGGTTGACTGTCAGACAGGGTAGTGTTTTAGGGACATCTACGGTTGACTGTCGGACAGG